TATTTCTCTCTCTATCTGGAGGGAGTGAGTGAGTGAGCAGTATTATAGAGCTGTAAAGTGTCTAATGAAACCCAGGCTTTAGTATTAAAGCTGTAGTACAGAGCAGTAAAATCAGGCTAACATCCTAGTTACTACACTCCAGAAATATTTATATTTGTATCAGTATATTATCAGGACATTTAAATCCCATATAGTCTGTGTGGTGGTGGCACACCAAGGGCCACAATCAATAATTGGCCTCTCCCATAAGAATGCACTGCTGCCCCTTGTGGACATAATGTAGAACAGCAAGACTGGTTTTCAGAAGGTGATTATAGGGGACTCCTTTGTATCAATTAAGCAGGGTTTTGTTTTTGACCTCCTCTAAATTATATTGAATTAATCTGATATTTCTTCTTACGTCAGATATTAATTGTCTATAATAAACCATGGACAGAAGCTAAACCTGTTATGAGCAGGAGTCCTGCAGTACGGACTTCAAAAACACCCCACTACTATCCCCTTTGGAAAGATGTGAGAATCCATGCTCTTCACACACTTGCCTGCCTGCCTGCCTGCTGTCTGCCTGCCTGCCTGTCTGTCTGTGAGTCGGACCATTGGTGAAGAGTCTCAGATGGTGACTAGTGACTTTGTAAGAAGTTGTTGTGTTAGTATGAGTGGCCTCCCTCGTGTTGTGTGTCAGTCATTGTGTGTGAAGATGTGTGTGTCCTCAGGACGTTTGTCAGGTTAAAAAAAGACTCCCACCTGCCCCTCCTCACCGCCATTACAACCTCCCCTTCCTTGCACTCTCTATCTGCTTCACAGCTGTCTAGCTCTAATCCTCTCTTTCTCTCTTTCTCTCTCTCTACCCCTCTCTGATGAGGCCAATGTTAAGAGGACAGTTGGTACTCCGCTCGCTGATCGTAATGCACTTCCAGGCATGGCAGTCCCACTCCAGTCCCACTGGCTCTGAATCGACTCCGCTCCTTCCCCACTCAGAGACCATACTGTATCTGCTGAAAAGTGACACTTTTGCATGCACGCAAAACACAAACACAGATCTCCTCCTCTACCCTGGGTGGCAGTTCAAATCAAACCATTAATTCATCCAGGGCTGCGAAAGTGAAAACCCGGTGTAGCGGGGACAGCAGTGGGGCTGGGACGGAGTGTGAGTGCCATGCCAGTGTGGGGAGTGACTGTGTTCTGTCAGGCTCTGGTTAGTGTTCTGTTCTGATCTGCTGGGCTCCTTCTGTGAACCTGTGGACGGTGCTTCTGTTTTCAGAATGCCATGTGAGAAGCTAATGCTTCAGTAAAAGGATGTTTTACTTAATATGTTATTTTAGTTTGTTTTACCTATGTTTTTTTGTTTTGTTTTCCAAGGGGTTTAAAGTTCAAAGTTCATACTCTTTACGCAGGGACCTGCCTAACTACATTCCTTTTCAATGTGATGAGCCTTTCTGTTTGTGCCAAACTGAATGTACTCCTCTGTCAATGCCTTGACTACAACGGTGCGTTCAATGAAAAAGAGAAGAAAAAAACATTTCTGGATACTTTTCCTATGACCTTGTAGAAGAACAAAACCACAAAGATGTGTTAATCTGTGTATGATTTCTGTTCCAAATGCTTATGGGTGCTGATAGAATTTTGCTACAGTTTACGAAAGGTTCTAGTTGTTTCTGATTGGTTGGGGTCTTGCTCTCGTGCCTCGATCCTAACACACACACACACACACTACCGCGTTGAGAGGCACCTCCCTCCATATCCAAACTCATCACTGTGCTGATCTCAGATCAGTGAAATGTGTTAAGTATTATCAGGCCTCGGACATCTACTACAACAAACTAATCCCACATCAGTCGATAGGCCTATGCGTTTACAACCATACCGTATAATCTCCATAACTCCATCCCAGTGAAGAGTGCATGGACAAGGTGCATGGACGATTAGGCTGCACAGCACAGCACACAAACTAAAATCCTCTTAGAATTGCAACCAAAAAAAACAAAAAAAGATAAATAAAACAGATCCATTCAAAAATATACATGACCAGATGAATCATTGAATCATGGAGCATTTCTTTCATCCTCCTCTCTCTAGTTTAGCTTTGTGAACACCACCATACTCTCCATTTTCTTTGTTTCTCTTAGCCTGATTCCAAATGGTTTGTATGGGAAAAGAGAGAGTGAGGTAGCAGATGTGTCCACACAGATAGATAGCGAGGCCATACGGCACAGCTGCACCGATGGAAACCCAGCTCTACCTCTGATCTCAGCTCAGGCCTGGCCTGTCCCAGACGCAATATATCCGCCCTAAAGCCGATCCCAGTTCACATACGACCTGTTGGTCTCAGACATTCCGCTATCCTCTATTGCACCTCAAGAGCTCTTTGGTTCTAGTCAATTATCAGTTAGCCAAAGCCCCGCCCTCTCCCCTCTCCATACACACACATCACATTAACATCTGGAATTAAATTGCTTGCATCCAATGGTATGTGGTGCAGAGATTATATGCCATTTGATACAATGTTTTTCTTCCTGTTTGATTGAACCAAAATGTCTCTTAGATGAACTCAGCTGCAGCACACGGGTGGCTGGGTGTTGTGAGTGGCTAGGGCAAGGGGTGTAACTGGGTGTCAGAGAGGGGAGGATGAATCTGTTGTTGGCTGTGCCTGAGCCCTAACCCACTCCTCCCAACCCCTAGCGCCCGATTGCTTTTCCAGCTTGGTGAATCTACGTTGTATGTCAGCTTGAATTGATTTTCCAGCCAGACACACATTCTTATGCAAGAGCTCTAAAACCAGAGATGATCCTTCAAGAAACTAGGGCATTTCATGCATTGGAAAACATCACAGCGCCCAGCTATATTGTTCTAGGTAACGTGCTGATTGTTTCTGGGAGTAAAAAACAGGTTTCCTTTGATTTGCAGTCGTAATATGTAACTGTAAGTCGCTCTGGATAAGAGTGTCTGCTAAATGACTAAAATGTAAAAAATGTAATATCACTGTTTCATATGGTTTCTCACAGGTCATTCCAAACAGCTTACTTTACTCTTGATCAGAAATAACTACCTTTGCATCCACCTCATGAGCACATTTGTTCTTTGTTTCTCTGACTCACACACACTATATCGTTCTCCTTTCCAGTCTCATGTCAATCTCAGTGCTTGGTGGAGTGTATTCCTAGTTAGAAAGATAATCCCAGACAGTCTGGAGATTATTGCCACATCCAGAGCCATCCACCCCACACCCTTCCCTAAAAGAAAACAAGCCCAACCACTTCTGGCTGTCTCTGGCTCTTCATTAGCAATCACTAAAAACTGTTGCTATGTGCCAACTACCAACATATTCCACAACTTTGTAGAAATGCTGTGAGTGTCTGGTGCATTTGGCTAGGTTTGTTACAATATGTACAGGACACTAGAATCTGTGTGTAGGTGACCAGGAAAAAAGGCATGAGTGTATAGTTCACTATTCCTTCCACTGTATAGTTCAGTAGTGGCTCTGTGCAGAGGTAGTCCCTTACCCTTTCCACCCTCTTCATCATGGTGCCAACAGCAGCCAACTCACTGCACCTATACCTGCTCCAGCCCCCTCCCCTCGCCTCTCCTCACTGCACCCATACCCACTCCCAGCCCCCCTGCTCTTCCCCATCTGGCACTGTCAAGTCAGCCTCATAACAAGATGCACATTAACCCATCTATAGGAACGCTTCAGAAAAACAGGTCCATTGTCACTTTCCGTCCAGACAGCTCAGTTTCCACACATGGTTTACTGTGCGACATCTACTCTACCTACAGGTTGATTTGTTTGCTAGCTTTTCATTCCTTCTCTCCTTCTCTCTATAGTGTTGTTTTCCACTCTTCTACTAAGTTGTCTCCACTTTGTTTTTTAAACCCTTTGAATTGATGCTGCTTCTGTGCTTGACTCTGGGTTTACTGAATACGTGGTGCAATGCTGTCCACAGTATGGGCTCTAGAGCTTGTAATGCTTCAGTGTGTAATGTTACCATATGCCTTACATGTTTTCCAGGACTAATAAAAAAGCATAACGGAAAAAAAGAATTGACCTGGAGCTGTGGCTTTGTTACTGCGTTATTAGGATGTTACTGTGAGGAAACAATATGGAACTGCAATTACTTGATATTTTATGGCTCATGTTTTGAGCGTGTTTACATAATGAATGTGAATGCTATCAGCTGTGGGAGTACAGAAAAGATATGGACTGAACACGGTTACAGTAAGATAAAGATGGGAATGTTCACTGTCAGAAATCTCTAGAGATTCTAAACACAGTACAGCATCCAACAAGATCAAATAAACAATAGCTGCCAGGACTAATATTGGTCCAATAAAAATAGTAGCTCAAATACTTTTTCAGTATATCCTGTTACTATCATCCGTAAAATGTATGTGTAAATCAGTTGGTCCTGATTAAGCATGAACAACAGTACAACTATAAAACTCTAAGAACCAAAATAACTTAACTCATTGGCTTATTATTATTATACAGACTCACACAAGCGTTCAAGATTTCTACGAACACAGTGCAAAAGACATTCCCATACAGATTAAATTCTTACAAAACGGGATAGAAACAAACACCTTTATAAAAACATAGATAAGACTATCCTTGTCAGGTTTTGTTTGTGTCTTGAGACTTGGCAGGTGCCTCCTCAATCCCATTAGCCCTCAGTACTTCAGACAGGCGACTCAGATAGGTGGAGTCTGGATAACCATTCCTGAGTGGACACAAAAGAACATTATAGAGTATATCTCAAATGGCACCCTAATCTCTATATAGTGCACTGCTTTTGACCAGAGCTCTATAGGGCTTTTCTTACATAGGTTACATCCTAAATGGCACCATATTCCCAAAAGTAGTGCACTATAAAGGAATAGGGTGCTATTTGGGACACACACTAGGTAATAAAATGAACAGCACATAACATTGACCCCTGACTTTCTGCTCTTTACTGTTGCTATTTCAGTCGAGAGCCACTAATGGGTTACTGTAACCCCAGTACTCACCCAGACTTGCCCCCCTGCAGGCTTGTCTTGTGGGGGATGCTGTCCCAGCTGACCCTGGCCCCTGGCTCCCTGCCCGTCACAGTGAAGGTGAGGCCTAGCCTGAAGGCTTTCTCCAGCCGCGGTAGGAGTTTCCTGGTCCTCTCACATAGGGGAAGGTAGGCCTCGAATACTCCCCCCCGAAACGCAGAGCCAGGCGAGGGGTGGCCCTCCTACAACAGGAGAGGGAAATGTGGCAGATAATGGGAGTGTTCAAGATTGTAATAGCCACCAGACAGTGTTAGGAGCTAAACATGACATAAATTATAAATGCAAAGCAAGCAATTACTGACAAGGGTTACTTAGACTTAACATTTTAATATAAGCTGATTTAATAACGCCAAGAGCGCATTTGCCAGTTTCAAAAAATAGCACATGAATGACATGACACATTTAAAATGTCAACTGTAATTAGCCCATCAGATAGCGTGGTAGAGAAGTCCTGCCCTTACCCCTTGAATGCCATCTGGGATGCAGTAGGTGATTTTAACGGCGGTGTCTCTGCCATGGCCTGGCAGGCTGAAGGGCATCTCAGAGTAGTTCATGTTACCCTGGATGCCCTGTGGAACTGCCACCTCAGCCTTGGGGCAAACCCTGCATTGGACGTGGACTTTGAGAAGGCACTGTGGACACAGGGTCACCCCACACCCTGTCCTTTTCAATGACGGCCCACTCTCCCCACACACACAGATCTGTGTCCGTGCCCCAGACAGACTAGACCTTCCCGAGCCATGGCGTGTGAGAGCTCCCCCTGACCCTGACCTTTCCTGGTTCTCTGCTCCACTAGACTGTCTGTTGTTGTCCTTCTGGGTCACTCTGGATCTCAGGTTGCTTTCTTTTGGGGGCGTGACCATGTCTTGATTGGTATGTGCTGCTGATGTTGACGGGAACATTGACCCGCCACCATTCACTGCTCCCGGCCTTCCTCCGTTGCCTATCGCTGAATGGCTGAGAAATGTGTCAGTCTTGCTCCCGTCTGCCTCCATGGTCCCTCCCCTCTCCACTTTCTCCTTTATGACAGGGTCTTTCCTCGCTGGTGATTGGCTCACAACTGTGTTCTTGTGTTCCGATTCGCTGTTTCTCGTCCTCTTGGAAGAATCACGCCTTAGGATGTTTTTCTTCTCCTCCCTGCTGGCACCAGGCCCCTCCTCTCCTCCTCTCTGAGTCTCAGACATCCGCTGAAGGCTATTGGTCTGAAACTGTGTGGAGTTCTGGACCCCATTCACCTGAGATGGACTGGACTGATTCAAAGTGGAGGTAGAGGGGACAGAGAAGTCCTCTTGTCCCCCCCTCTGGCCTGTCTCTCCAGGGAATACCTCCCTCAGTGCTGCCCCCACTTGAGAGCACAGCTGCTTGGGGCCGATCAGAAATACACTATCTCTCATCGTCTGGATGGAGACCTTCTTGAACCGTTGCCTCACCTCAGCACAGCACACTTCTAAAGTCTCATCCGCTGGGTCGGACAAGCCTAACTCAGCCAGACGCAACTCCTGCAAACAGAAGTCTGTCTTCAACATGGCAACCAGCTTCTGCATCTCCAACTGACAGGTGCTCACCACAGATGACTCCGCCCCACTAAGGATGACAGTGATGTCATTGCTTTTGTCTGATTGGCTCTCCCTCATCTGCAGGTCAGAGGTCATGTCCTGTATACGGGTGGCGTAGGCCTCCTTCATGTAATTCCATATCACCATGGAAATGGTTAGCTCTGCACAGTAGGCATTTCTCCTGTCCAAGCTATTGGACCGCCTGGCTCTGGTTGTGGGTTTCTCAGCCTCACTTTGTCCTGGGTCCTGGACCTTGGACCTGGCCCGCCCCGAGAAACTACTGGCCCGCTTTAGAGTGGACCCTGACCCGGAGGGTGAGATGGTGGTGGGTGGTGCTGCCCCCTGACAAGGTGTTCAGAGTTGAGGTGAATGGGGCTGTCTCACCCTGCTGCCTAAGGTCTGTTGGTATTGAGCTCAGGAAGAGTCCATTCTCCATAGAGGAGGGGGTGAACAGGGGGTCACATCTCATGAACAGGATATCCTCTACACTACTCTGTGTACCTGGCCTGGGGAGTCCCCCAACACCTGACCCTGCTCTGTCTAAGCCAAACAGGTCATGGCCTAACATAGGTCCAAGGCCTGGTCGTATACTTAGAGATGGGTCCCCTACCGTCACTGTGTCCCTAGGTCTGGTCCCTAGCCCAGCCGGCCCTAATGCCTTGAAGCGGGGGGCAAACTTATACCCTCGGGCCCCCATCTGTCCTTCTCTCTGTCTCATATTGCTTTAGCAGCTTATCTATCCTTGCCGTCCAGGGGTGTTCCTGCTGTGGAGGAGAGAGTGGGTGTGAGTCTCTCCTCTTCCCCTGGCTTGGAGGAACCAGATGTGGATGAGGGAGATCGTAACAAGCTGGCTACATCCTCCACCGCCTCCTCTCTCTCCCCCAGGAGGAGGAACTGTTTGGCTTCGGACACATCGCTGCTGTTGCCAACTATGTAGACGTTCCTGTCATCCTCACTGAGCAGCAGCTTGGGCAGCCTGACCCGCAGGCTCTCCATGGCCTTGGACAGGCCTCCCCTGGGAAAGAGGACGCTCTTGGGCAGCTGGGCTCGCCGGAGCCTGGCCTCGTTCTCCTGATAGAGCCGGCTCAGGTCCCCACGAGCCCCCCTCAGACGCTCCAGCTCCTGCCCAATGTCCCCCACCCCTGGGTACTCTCTGTAGGAACAGGGTGGTCACCCCCTCAGCGGTCACCGTCCACCACCTCTACCCCATGATGGGTGAGGATCTCCTGGTACTCCTCTCCACAGTGCCTCTGCAGGTAGAGGAACATGTCTGCATCCATGATCAGGGAGAGGTCCTCTTCCAACCATAGGGGGTTCCTGAGACAGACACAGACCCACAGCACCCCCCTTCTGCCTGGGCTGTCCCCTCCCCCTCCAAGGCCCTGATCTCCAGACGTAAAGTCCCATATGTGGGCCTGAGCCTAGATCACCTGAGAATAGACCCATGGCCTGCTCTGTTTGTTCTCTCTGCTCATCACCTCTCCTGTGATGGTCTGTTGGCTCCTGGGTATGAGTCCTCTTCGCTTGGTCACTAGTGCCTCTAGTAGGGACTCCCAGAACACCATTGGCCCCAGGTGGGGGTGTATCTGTGGAGGCCAGGGCCCCAGGGAGCCCCAGTATTTGGGCCAGTGCAGCCTGGACCTGGGAGTAGAGGCCCTGCAAGGTGCAGAGCTGCTCTGGGTTGTTATAGTGGATCTGGACATCATGACTCCTGTCAAGGCTGGTCACTGCTGCCTTTCCTCCAGGTAGCTGGCTGTAGTCCACTGTAACAGACATGCTCAAGATGACCTGAACGGGAGAGGGAGGGGGGGAGAAAGAGGGAGAATATGTAAGTCTAAATCAAATGTGTCACTTTTTCCCAATATTGTGTCAACAACATACCTTATTTGGGTCCAGGTCTTTGTGAGGTTCACTCAAGGTGAGTTCATACTTCTTCCCGTCCACCTTCAGAATGTGTCGGCCATGTTGAAGCACGCTCCTTGCCACTGTGTGGGGTCACCAGAGTACAAAAGCTAAATCAATCTCAGTCAGAGAAACACCCTTACTAAGCACTCCTGCTCCTGGCCTCTCCATTGAAATGTATGCCAACACCCGAGCTCACAGTTAATCGATGGTGACAGGCCATGAAGCATTATACCTTGCATTTCATAGTTAATTTGCAAATGGATGCAAAATGAAGTTTAAAAAGAGTGGCTATGGTCAACGAGCCAGATGGAAATCTATTGATAAGGAACTTAGCAGTGGCAACGATGTACTGTAGTTGTTACTTTATGCCTCTATGTTATGGTGAAACAGTCCATTTATCACCATCAAGTCTCCAGTCTCCTGATCTCTTCTCTCTACCAATTCATCATTCACATTCCATGCCCTATGCACCCCCACCCCTCCCAGGAGCCTCAGACACATTATATGCACAGCCACACACACATACACACACACACACACACACACAGTCTTGTACAGCTAACCTTGTGGGGACACACAATTCAGTCCCATTCAAAATCCTATTTTCCCTAACCTTAACCCTAACCCTAAACCTAGCTCGTAACCCTAACCCTTAACATAATTCTAGCATTTGACCTTGTGGGGACTAACAAAATGTCCCCAGTTGGTCCCCAAACATTTTTTAAAACTATTGTTGTGGGGACTTCTGATCCCCACAAGAATAGTTAAACACGTCCACACACACACACACCTCCAATGTCCTCAAAGGTGATGAGGGCAGAGCCGGGTGTTGCCTTGACAATGGTGGCAGATGCTATTTCCCCTCCTCCATTCCTGGCCCTCAGGAAGTGGATGTATAGCTTGTCTGTCAGCCGGTCCTCCTTTATATCAGTGGGCAGGCCACTCACCCTCACTGTCCTGCACTGCTCCGCCATCTGCTGGGCAAAACTGGGCTACTGACATACAGGAGGAATACATAGGTGGGTATACCAAGCCAAGTCTCCCTTCAACCATAACCACTGATTGTAAATTGTCAATACATTTGTCATTGCCATGTAATAGGCCAACATAACTATTTTTTGTGGGGGTTATCTCGATATTTGATAAAATTACACCCTGTGCTGGACGTTGCCACGAAACTTCATCAAGATAATCAACAGAAACGTTTTTTTATTCAACTGCTGTGTCAACGGAGGTCAATGCTATGGAAACAGCTTGAGATACTGTTGATGTTGATAGTATACTGTAAAGAGAGATGTGCTAACTGTTCACATGACATGCGCACTGACTACTTGATGTTCAAATGAGGTCCACAAAGAACAATCGAGCAGTTTGCGCGGTGGGCGTCATATCACTTTAATCCGCTGTTTCAGAAAGATTAGTGCGTATAGTTATCCATTCCCTTCCCTGCTCTATAACAGAGACGATCACTTTAACCATCAAATCACAAAATCTGTGAAAATCAAAGGAATGGATAAGTGTGAAGACTGCGGAGACTGAGAAAATGAAACTTCAAGGAAGTGCACAAACGACACAATCTAAAATGACCTCAAAGTAGATTTCTTCAAGGCATTGCCTTTTTTCACAACGACATCAGCGCAAATATCCTTACCTTACCTGTTTAGATGCCTCTCATATCTCTCGTCTCGCACTAAAGACGTGGACGTACTTCACTTGCATGTTGTTCAAAACATGGATGGAAAGTGAAACTGTATGAAGTAGGAACTGGAGGGTTAAGATTGTTGTTGTTCTTCATTTCAAACGCCAGGGGGCGAACATAAGGCCTGGTTCACAGGTCCAAAAATGAATCAATGCATTGGTCAATTCAAGGCCTAGATTAGAATTGTCCAAGAATGAGATACATTTGTATTTCAACAAATCGTGTGTGTGTGTGTGTGTGTCTGTGTGTGTGAACAAAACGTGTGTGTGTGTGTGTGTGTGTGAAGCCAGCCACTGAACGTTCTGAAATTATATACAGTAAATTCAACTTTATTTTCATAATGTCACACTAACCTCTCAACATTTGAAAAATTAAGAAGAAACAGTCAACTGAACGTTCTGAAATGATATACAGTAAGTTCAACTTTATTTTCATAATATGTCTCACTAACCTCTCAAAATTTGAAAAATTAAAAAGAAAAATGCCTAGGCTTTATTCTCGCCAAGGACATGATTAATTCAACCTAAGACAGTACAGTATGAAGATAGGCTGAAACCGCTTCTCCAAAAGAATCACACTTGTAGGCGATGTCATGCGCAGAAACACTTCATCAGGTCTAACGGGTTGTCTCGCGCTGAACTGCGCATGTGCAGACCATCAAATCAAAGGCACTTATTCGATATAAAGTTGTTTTTGACAAAATTAAAAACGTCTTAGTTTGTCAGTTTTACGAGATTAGAGTAATAACATGTTCAACTAATTAAGACATTGGCTCATATATAGGTTGTGCCTTTAGATTTCGAGAAAATTAACAACTAATGAATAGTTTTTCACTTCTCTCGTTGACTTCTCAAACCCCGACCTGGTCTGCATGGTCTGTTTCGCAAGCGTTCCTGGAAGTCTCGCGGTGTTGCGTCTCAGGGTTTAGAAACTCTGTGATTCAACCCTGTTCAAATGACAGAAATATGTAATTATCATTATAAACTGGGTGGTTCAAGCCCTGAATGCTGATTGGCTGAATGCCGTGGTATATCAGACAGTATACCATGGGTATGACAAAACATGTATTTTTTTCTGCTCAAATTACATTCGTAACCATCGGTAACAATATACCACACCTCCTCGGGCCTTATTGCTTAATAAGGCACCTCGGGGGTTTGTGGTATATGGCCAATATACCACGGCCACGGGCTGTATCCAGGCACTTCGCGTTGCGTCGTGCTTAAGTTCAGCCATATACCACACCCCCTCGTGCTTTATTGCTTAATTATATCATAATTTAACTATTATCATAGTTGGTGAACTTCGGCAACCAGAATGCTCAGCGATATTCTCACTAGCCAATGAATTGCATCAATAAACAAGTCCTGGAGCACTATTTATCCAATCAGAGAGGAGTTTGTTAGAAGTTGATGCGCATGCTCTGCAGAAAGAAAAATTCATGCGTTCTAACGTCGGCTACGGTGGAGGTCATAGACAGATCTGACAAAACAGTAGGTGAGTGCTAATTTAATTCGTTATGACCATATACATGTATCAATATATAATTATTAAAACTCCCTAATAGTCAGATATTGCTATTGTAATGGTGTGTGACTTGTTATGTGGGTAATTATTTAGTAAACCGGGAAGGTACGCATTGAGTAACATGGACACGAGCGACCGATTTGCAAGTTGATGTCGCTGCGTGAGCATGTAACGTTAACTTAACTACAGATTGTCATGATAGTGTTTGTTACCCTGATCTAGAGCTATCGCTTGGCATGACAGGTCCAGGTGTGACATTGCGTGTTTTTATGTTTCAATTCACATAGCTAGTTAAATATAGTCTTCATCGTTTTTGTTGCAAGGTCTGCTTGCTTGGCTAGCTAGTTTGGCTAATGCAGCTTTGGCATCATTGACAAACCAAGGCCATCACGTCAGAAGGGAATAACTAAGAGCTCTGGAAAAACGAACAACACGTTTATTTGGATAGCTTTAGTAGCTACTTACCTACATGTAGATGTATTATACCACATACTCAATTATATAATTAAGAGCTAGAGTTTTATCTGGTGAACTCACATAGAAATGAAAGTAAATGTATCTATCAATGAATAGCTTTTTATAGTCTTTAATTTTTTTTCAGGGCTGCAGACATGGCGAAACTATTTGAATCCATCGGGAAGTTGGGGCTGGCACTCGCTGTTGGTGGAGGTGTTGTGAACTCAGCCCTCTTCAATGGTGAGACATTGACCTCTGTAAATGGATCAATGGATCTTGATATCAGTGGAGGCTATGGAAACACCTGGATGCAATACTAGAAATTCTGAACAACATATCTAAGGCTTAAAGTTGTGAATTCCATAAACTACCAACCTGAATTGTCCTAATATTTCTTCACATTTCAGTTGATGCAGGTCATCGGGCAGTTATATTCGACAGGTTCCGGGGAGTGCAAGATGCCGTAGTTGGCGAGGGAACTCACTTCCTCATTCCCTGGGTACAGAAGCCTATCATCTTTGACTGCCGTTCTCGTCCACGCAACGTGCCTGTCATCACAGGCAGCAAAGGTAACTAACATGAGTCACGAGGACCGGCACAATAATCTTCACACTTAGTCTTTCTCTGGTATACTAAAAGCTTTTACCTACCTATCTTTCTGTCGTTTCATTTCAAGCTCTATCCAAGAGTGTTTTCCTTTTTTTACTTCTTCAACTGTCCTCTTGTAGTTTCTTTGTAAAGTCTTAATTCTCTCTCCCCACCCCACAGATCTGCAGAATGTAAACATCACACTGCGTATCCTCTTCCGGCCGGTGACTAGCCAGCTCCCACGCATCTTCACCAGCATCGGCGAGGACTACGACGAGAGGGTACTGCCATCCATCACCACAGAGGTCCTCAAGTCCGTGGTGGTGAGTGTTAGACTAATGCTGCATTTCCATTATAAGGTTTTACCCTGGTGTTTGGCCTAAAAACAGACTTTTGCATTTCCACCTCTGAGGCCTTGTCCCAAAAAAAGTCTGAGTGGCATTGGGTTGCAGTGAAGTCTATGCTATCCAGTGTCTTTATGTGTATGTATGTATGTATGTATGTACAGTGAGGGGGGGAAAAGTATTTGATCCCCTGCTGATTTTGTACGTTTGCCCACTGACAGACATGATCAGTCTATAATTTTAATGGTAGGTTTATTTGAACAGTGAGACAGAATAACAACAACAAAATCCAGAAAAACGCATGTCAAATGTTATAAATTGATTTGTATTTTAATGAGGGAAATAAGTATTTGACCCCTCTGCAAAACATGACTTAGTACTTGGTGGCAAAACCCTTGTTGGCAATCACAGAGGTCAGACGTTTCTTGTAGTTGGCCACCAGGTTTGCACACATCTCAGGAGGGATTTTGTCCCACTCCTCTTTGCAGATCTTCTCCAAGTCATTAAGGTTTCAAGGCTGACATTTGGAAACTCGAACCTTCAGCTCTCTCCACAGATTTTCTATGGGATTAAGGTCTGGAGACTGGCTAGGCCACTCCAGGACCTTAATGTGCTTCTTCTTGAGCCACTCCTTTGTTGCCTTGGCCGTGTGTTTTGGGTCATTGTCATGCTGGAATACCCATCCACGACCCATTTTCAATGGCCTGGCTGAGGGAAGGAGGTTCTCACCCAATATTTGATGGTACGTGGCCCCGTCCATCGTCCCTTTGATGCTGTGAAGTTGTCCTGTCCCCTTAGCAGGAAAAACACCCCCAAAGCATAATGTTTCCACCTCTATGTTTGACGGTGGGGATGGTGTTCTTGGGGTCATAGGCAGCATTCCTCCTTCCCCAAACACGGCGAGTTGAGTTGATGCCAAAGAGCTCGATTTTGGTCTCATCTGACCACAACACTTTCACCCAGTTCTCCTCTGAATCATTCAGATGTTCATTGGCAAACTTCAGACAGGCCTGTATATGTGCTTTCTTGAGCAGGGGGACCTTGCGGGCGCTGCAGGATTTCAGTCCTTCACCGCGTGGTGTGTTACCAATTGTTTTCTTGGTGACTATGGTCCCAGCTGCCTTGATCATTGACAAGATCCTCCCGTGTAGTTCTGGGCTGATTCCTCACCGTTCTCATGATCATTGCAACTCCACGAGGTGAGATCTTGCATGGAGCCCCAGGCCGAGGGAGATTGACAGTTATTTTGTGTTTCTTCCATTTGCGAATAATCGCACCAACTGTTGTCACCTTCTCACCAAGCTGCTTGGCGATGGTCTTGTAGCCCATTCCAGCCTTGTGTAGGTCTACAATCCTGTCCCTGACATCCTTGGAGAGCTCTTTGGTCTTGGCCATGGTGGAGAGTTTGGAATCTGATTGATTGCTTCTGTGGACAGGTGTCTTTTATACAGGTAACAAGCTGAGATTAGGAGCACTCCCTTTAAGAGTGTGCTCCTAATCTCAGCTCGTTACCTGTATAAAAGACACCTGGGAGCCAGAAATCTTTCTGATTGAGAGGGGGTCAAATACTTATTTCCCTCATTAAAATGCAAATCAATTTATAACATTTTTGACATGCGTTTTTCTGGATGTTGTTGTTGTTCTGTCTCTCACTGTTCAAATAAATTCTAGACTGATAATTTCTTTGTCAGTGGGCAAACATACAAAATCAGCAGGGGATCAAATACTTTTTTCCCTCACTGTATGTATGTGTGTGTTTTATATGGGTGTGTTTGTGTGTGTGCCTCACAGGCCCGGTTTGATGCCGGTGAGCTCATCACCCAGAGAGAGCTGGTGTCTCGGCAGGTCAGTGATGACCTGACAGAAAGAGCCAACACCTTCGGCCTGATCCTGGATGACGTCTCACTGGTAAGCTGATGTTGTTTGAAGGAATAATACACTCAAAACTACTAATTCCTATGATTTACAATGTTGAATAACGCTAACATGTGAGGACATTATATTTGTGCACAAATGTTTGATTTTATCGTTATAATAAGTAAGGAAGCGAGCGTTTTACTCTGTGGGCCTGGTCATCACTTGTACGTGTTTTTAATTGAAGACCTCATGTTCCTTCTTCCACAGACACACTTGACGTTCGGTAAGGAGTTCACAGAGGCTGTTGAGATGAAGCAGGTGGCTCAGCAGGAGGCCGAGCGGGCCAGGTTCGTTGTGGAGAAGGTAAGGAGAAAGGGTTTGAGACATTGACAGAGATTAATTTTGTAAGGTGATAAGAATACTAGGCATGCATTTAATACACTTAAAGCTGGAAGTGACCCTTAACAACCAAGTGATTCTGACTTTGCGCACCTTTTTATAAAGGATGAATAGAAGTCAACAGTGTATTTGTTCTCTACTTCACCAGGCCGAGCAACAGAAACAGGCAGCCATCATCTCAGCGGAGGGTGACTCCCAGGCCGCCCTGCTTATCGCTAACTCCCTGCAGGAGGCTGGAGACGGCCTGGTAGAGCTGCGTAAGCTCGAGGCTGCCGAGGACATCGCCTTCCAGCTGTCCCGCTCCCGCAATGTCACCTACCTGCCCGCCGGCCAGGGCACACTCCTCCAGCTGCCCCAGTGAGACCCACACACCCTGACCTAATCACCCCTCCCTGTGACCAGCCAATGCATGGGCCATGGAGGGGGAAGGGGGGGGGAGAGGAGAGGGTGAAGGGATGGGGGTCCTCCACCTTCACACAATCTCCTCTCACTTCCACTAACTATGGACTGGTGAAATAATGGCGGCTTGGGAGTGTGGAAAGGTCCATGATAGGGTTCTGAAGTATGGGCAGTGTGTGGGGAAGAGGAGGGAGCCTGAGGCTTGATCTATGGTAAACTACATATAGTAAGTTCTGTCAAAAATACAAAATTGGTGATGCAGTAAATTATCTTGGATTTGTCTGACAAATTCAGGGCAGTGACTGTGAGGGGCTTGTGATATGAAGAAGTTGTAATTATGTTAATTTAGGGAAAGAGCTGTTTGGAATGTCATGAAAAAGATGGAACATTTTAGCACTATTGTAACCACCACCGCAATCACAATCCTGGGCATTTATTGATCTGAGAGGACAAGCTATTTAATCAACTGCATTTACATTAATCTTAGCCAAGCACAAACTTCCATGGGTGAATAAGATACTGCTGCTATACACCAAAGTAGTTTGGGATCCAAAGCACCCTTGTTTTTCCACTCATAACTTTAAATTACCTCGTACAAACAAATTATCTGAACTAATCTACCCAGAGCCATATATTCTGAATATATGACTCTGAATCAACCCATCCCTTTGACTGAGTCTATTGTGCAGAGATGGCCTGTCAAATGTCCTCTCACAGCTGGCTTTCCTAAAATCATCCCAGTTTGATTGCCATAGAGTCCCAGCACTGCACTCCCCCTACTTGATTGCAAGGTTGGATCCTCTACAGAATCATCTTTGGTTTACTAGCACGTTGTCCACCCCACCCCATCTATGGTCCTCAATGACATGTCCCTCCTAGCCCAGTGGTATGAAACGTGCCTGTCAGATGGTCATGGGTAGCAACCTTCCCTCATTCTTTAAAGTTTGTCGCCGTGTCTTTATTTTGGTGGGAGGATGTGCAAGCCCCCGCATTCCACTCAATGTCTCAACTTAACAATAAAATTGTCTTATTTCTACATCATAGTGACAGCTCTTTTTTGTGTACCAAATCTCTGTGAAATGTGACACGGTTGATGTTCAAGTTATGGTTTTCTCATTTATAGCCACAAGAGGGCCCTATAAATATATTGTGTGTTTTGCGTCCGATTTTGTGAATACCTGTACTTGAGGGCATAAATATCATACTTAGACCAGATTTAATTTATGTCTGCCATTGTGTAAAGTCTGTATAGGGGTTGAAAGGACTCCCTAAGCAACCGATGTTATGAGGTATACATTGAGGCAGAGAACAGAAACATTGTTAGGCTACCATTGCTTAAATACATACAATGTAGTTTATACACTGATAACTAAAGTAGTGGTAGTTTTAGAAATATAAACCTGGCTATGTTTCATATCAGATGCTTTTGTGCATGCTTGGTTATATTGCATTTCACCTCCTAGCCCAACAACCTGATATAGGTTGTAGACATTTTAGCACAGATATGAAGAATGCAGAATGGAGTTTTATAAACAGTGCATCATTCTGTCTCGCTTACACAGGATGTAAGTCTGATTTCCTGTTTGTTTTACCAACACAGTCACAATTGTGGGCACTACAGTAAATATGAAAATATAATTAACTTATTCGCATGACTGTAATTGGCATACTTGAAATGGCAATGACACATTTCAGTACCTAGGTCAAAGTGCGGAAAGTTGCTAAATATACAGTAGCACATTATTCCACATTTCATTTAAGAAGAGTGGTTAGAGACGGGAACAACGGAGCAGTCTGTCCTGTGTTTGGTTAGTACAGACATGCATCCATATAGGCTTCTACTAATATAATTTATGTCCAGGAAATGGGCAATAAAAAAATGTATAAGGTGAAATACTGTATTCAACAGAAATCTCCTTCAACATCTGGGCATTGCCATTTAGATCTACATTTCATGCAGAAGTTCGCTTTTTCCAGTAACCGATTCCGTGTCCAATCCAGCTCTGGTTTTCTTATAATTTCCCGGCTAAAGATGGGGGACAGACACGAGTGCGCGCATCGTGCCCTGTCTGGTTTGGAGAGGAGACGAAAAAATTGTGGCGCGGCTACCCAACCCAGACAGCGGCCTGCCTCTCAGTGATGAGCGTGGGTCTGGTAACGTTAGTGCGCGCGAGACTCTGGCTGGGCCACGTAGCGATGGATCTACTGCAAACATATCAGTGCCATACATTCTAAAAATGCATTAGTAAACACATTTGCAATCGCGCATGCAATAGGATTATCAAACAGTGGTGAACTGCAACAGTAGCTGGCTCTTTTTGTGCGTCTGTAGCACTCCAGAATTCCTGTAACTGATTGCACGAAATGAGAAAGAGGGCGCTCTCACCGAGGGTAAGGCAACAACATTTCTCTACAAGTTATTGTATATTTTTTCATGTATTTACAAACATGACATTTGTCTACAATGCAAGGCAAATGAAGGATTTTCTTAGTGATTTTCTTGTCTATTATCAAGCTAGACTGCTGACAAACCGTCAAAGCGGACGAATTGAGTATGTAATGAGCTGTGTGCTATCAAGCTAGGTTTTTCTTCGGGAAGAGCATTTTTTAAAAGATTCTTGTAGCTATGATTTGTTAAACCATTTTATTAACAAATATTGACATGTTTAACCTTGATTTGTGTACACTATGTATAATATTTGATTCTGCAAGATTGCATATTGGTGTAAAATCTCGGTTTATCCGATTTATATCTGGGAGGTTTTGGGTTAAAAAAAGTGAAAGTCGTCTGATTAGCTAGGATTTGCTAGCTAACGTTAGCCGTGTGCCATGGTGGTAATTCACATTTGCGCTAGCTATGCTAACTAGTATTATTTTTGGTGAAACGGACAGTGCGTGGCGAGCTTGATTAGCTACGTTCATATTATTGATGTAATTTGTTAGTATGTCGATGTCCAACCAATGTAAAATAAAATCATCTGTATTTAGATAACTACTGTAAATTGAATCTACCTTCCTAGTTTGTAAGCTAATAAATTGTCTAGCTGAACGGCCTTCCGTCCGACGGTCTTGACCAACCAATGTTTCCTTTTTGTTTAACCCTTTCTTTGCTACTATTTTTTTTAAGTTGGTTGTTACCAACAAAACTGCATACAATCGTGTAACTATTGTTAATATGCGTTGTTTTGGAATTTGTAGTATTCAACTAATATAGCCATCCGACTTCTATCAATCGTTTAGTATTTTGAAAATATATCGCGTTTTGGGTAACGTTAGCGCCAAATTGACGTAGCTAGCAAGTTAACCTAGCTAGCCAGCTGGCGAAATAGCTAGCTAGGCCAGATTGATTGCAAGCGAAGCAGAGTTAGCATTCGTACTAGCTAGTCTGTTATGTTTGAGAAGGGGGCAAAGGATTGCTTTGCAGTGCAGTGTCAGCCGTAATTTAGGCCCAGCTGCAGCATTGACAATTATTGCGAAACAAAAAGTCAACTTTTATTGAGCACAATATGTCGGTTGTGCAGACGTTTTTATGAAGTGGCCTTTGCCTTGCACACGTTCGTTGTGTTGAATATAGCCTCATTTCTAAAACCACATTCAGACATTGAGCTTCCAGTTCCTTCATATCACATTGTCAGACCCAACTTCATAGATAAATGCTTTTGTCAATAGTGGCTAAATGGCAAGCTCTCACTAATGACTGTGACATGTATTTTAAGGGCTTTCAGTATTAGTGTTTGTTATTAGTGTTTTTACTTTAAGGTTGACAGACTTCTCCTGTCAAAACTGAGACTCACCATGGACCATCTCATTAGCCTACATTGTAGCATTTCATCATCCGATCCTTCCTTCCCCCTCTTCCTTTCATGTGTTGTCACAGAGAGGGAAAGAGCGAGAGAAAGAAACGTAGCCCATGCATTCGGATAGAGATTAGGAGAGAGCAGATGCCTGTGGAGGTTTTAAAGCATGTTGATCGCCTACCACTGCTTCCCTTCTATCTATACCTCTAGAAAGCTTAGGCACAAATACCTACAGGAGCATGGGGCTCCCCTACTGTGCGCCACACAGTGAGCTGGTTAAAGTCTTATGAGTTTGGAGTCAGGAATGTGAACCCTCACACATTTGCCTCAAAGGGAAAGCTCAATAAATTCCACAGACAGAGGGCGGGTGGAATTTAATGCTGCAGAATAATGCATTGAAATGGTGGTGAGTGAAACTAAACCTCTGGGAAGGATTCACCTGACACACTGTGATGCACACCCTTGACATGTCACTATCTACTTGTGATTACCATCTGCACAGGATTTGAACCCCATCTTTCAGACACTTTAGACGAGAGGGAGCAAAGTTTGTATTTGAAATCATCCCAAACAGTAGTGCAGAGCGATCGTTTTTTAAACAACTAATTGACCAATGTCCGTTCAAATATTTGAATTCCATTTTGTTCCTTTTTTTTCTGTGAGCTCAATGCGGACATTGCGCAGTTTCTCCGGAGATAAATCAGATCAAGCCCGAACTGTGCAATGTAGTATGGAGTTGTAGTTTCCAACAGGCCAATATTCTACAAAGTTTTAATGCAGAAAACGTTGGAATTAACTACAATGACCGTAATCGTTTGCTCGCCAACTGTCAGGTCTATGTTTCTTTTACTCCTGCTACATAAGAGACAGAAGAATGCGAGATCAAGAGGGATAGAGAGCAGTTGCTTCACGAGGTATCTCTACCTGAAAATACATTATCTAAGTGATTGATAGTTGGTATTCAGCAGTCATAACAGTATGCCATATTTACTTTGAAGAACTACTAAAATAGTGATTTTTGTTAGACGGCATAGGCAGCAGCTCTATAGAGATGCGATGATGACTTAGAATGAAATAATAGTCATCAATTAAAACAAATGTAATATACACAACATCAATATTTTATTAAAGTAATGTGAATAAATGATGGTTAATAAGTGATCAGCAGTAATGGGCAGTCACTACCATCATGGGACTTTTATTAATTGTTTTATTCTGTGTTACAGCATTTAACCCACATGATACATAGTGCATTTAATGTATTAAAAAATATATCGAAATAGAAAACACATTTTTCATAATCGAGCTGAAACAGGACCAACCTCAAAAAGCATGAATTGCTCAGCACTACCAAACTGAAAAAAGCGGAGCCACAAATGATCAACGTTACGCTGAATTTAACCTCGAAATCTGACAAGGTAATCGTGCAATTACCATTGATATTGTGAAGTCTTCTCTCTTCCTGCTCACCACATCAAAGGGCTTTGCTCTCTCATTGTGAGTGAAACTCTACTGTGACTCATCGAAGTAAGGATTTTACTAAATGCGAGTTGCATAACCTCAGCTGTCCTGTGTGGTTGTGGAATGTTTGCACATGCACTCTTGGCCACCCCATATCTCACTCTCTGTTTACTTTGACATATTAGTCATTTAGCAGATGCTCTTATTCAGAGTGGCTTACAGTTAGTGAGTGCATACATTTTTTTTTTTTCATACTGGCCCCCCGTGGGAATCGAACACTGTTTGATCATGTTAATGACTGGAACAGCACTAAGTTTGTGCAAAGTTGTCATAAGTTCTGGTCAAGTAATTTCTTTGCAAATCTTCACTGAGCAGAACGAACCCTCAGTCTTCAGTGTAAGGCACGTGTCAAACTCATTGCACGGAGGGCCGAGTGTCTGTGGGTTTTCACTCCACCCTTGTACTTTATTGAATTAAGGTCACTAATTAGTAAGGACCTCCCCTCACCTGGTTGTCTAGGTCTTAATTGAAAGGAAAAAACAAAAACCTGCAGACACTCGGCCCTCCGAATGAGTTTGACCCCCTTGGTGTAAGGGTAGGCCTACACGTGACCATTTTGTCCATCTGTCTGCACTATACATCAGGAAAGCACTGACTAATTTGACATGCACTCCACTCAGAGGGCTCATCAATGTACAGGCCTGTCTTCTTAACCCTACTACGTTCCTGTACATGTGCATCATAAGCAGCTGTTAAGAGAGAACAGGGCCTATTCGATTGGTTCTGGCAGATCTAACATCACATCTGCACACGGGGCAGGAGAGCATCTGAGGGAGTTTTTAATGCTCCAGTAGGTGAGACGAGGTGCTCTATGGAGCGCAGTGCCCTCCACTCCCTCCTCTTGTGGTTGTAATGCACTTAGTGCGGTCCAATTCTCAGAAAGTATCAGACAGTCAACATGCACAGGAAGAAAGGTGGTGGGTGGGTGTGTATTGTTTTGCTTTTTTCTGTCCTCTGATTCTTTTCTTTTTTTGTCAACACATAGCAGTAGCCATTTTGTTTGTGTATTTGAGTCACTCTGTTCCAGAATTGTACTTCTCGCAACTTGAGTGGAGTGGAGTGTAGTGGATAGAGGAGGAGGTGGAACCAGAGAGTTTGGGTCTCTGTGTGGATCTCCGCCTCAGACACAGTCCAGCGGCCTCATCTGTTATTAGAGGCCCTCCTTGGCTTGAAAAGTTTCAGAATCACACTCCACATCTGAACAGGCTGCTTTTAGACTAGATCTGGGAATTGCCAGGGACCTCAAGATACGATATTGTCACGATACTTAGGTACCGATACAATACAGTGGGGAAAAAAAGTATTTAGTCAGCCACCAATTGTGCAAGTTCTCCCACTTAAAAAGATGAGAGAGGTCTGTAATTTTCATCATAGGTACACGTCAACTATGACAGACAAAATGAGGGAAAAAAATCCAGAAAATCACATTGTAGGATTTTTAATGAATTTATTTGCAAATTATGGTGGAAAATAAGTATTTGGTCACCTACAAACAAGCAAGATTTCTGGCTCTCACAGACCTGTAACTTCTTCTTTAAGAGGCTCCTCTGTCCTCCACTCGTTACCTGTATTAATGGCACCTGTTTGAACTTGTTATCAGTATAAAAGACACCTGTCCACAACCTCAAACAGTCACACTCCAAACTCCACTATGGCCAAGACCAAAGAGCTGTCAAAGGACACCAGAAACAAAATTGTAGACCTGCACCAGGCTGGGAAGACTGAATCTGCAATAGGTAAGCAGCTTGGTTTGAAGAAATCAACTGTGGGAGCAATTATTAGGAAATGGAAGACATACAAGACCACTGATAATCTCCCTCGATCTGGGGCTCCACGCAAGATCTCACCCCGTGGGGTCAAAATGATCACAAGAACGGTGAGCAAAAATCCCAGAACCACACGGGGGGACCTAGTGAATTACCTGCAGAGAGCTGGGACCAAAGTAACAAAGCCTACCATCAGTAACACACTACGCCGCCAGGGACTCAAATCCTGCAGTGCCAAGACGTGTCCCCCTGCTTAAGCCAGTACATGTCCAGGCCCGTCTGAAGTTTGCTAGAGTGCATTTGGATGATCCAGAAGAGGATTGGGAGAATGTCATATGGTCAGATGAAACCAAAATAGAACTTTTTGGTAAAAACTCAACTCGTCGTGTTTGGAGGACAAAGAATGCTGAGTTGCGTCCAAAGAACACCATACCTACTGTGAAGCATGGGGGTGGAAACATCATGCTTTGGGGCTGTTTTTCTTCAAAGGGACCAGGACGACTGATCCGTGTAAAGGAAAGAATGAATGGGGCCATGTATCGTGAGATTTTGAGTGAAAACCTCCTTCCATCAGCAAGGGCATTGAAGATGAAACGTGGCTGGGTCTTTCAGCATGACAATGATCCCAAACACACCGCCCGGGCAACGAAGGAGTGGCTTCGTAAGAAGCATTTCAAGGTCCTGGAGTGGCCTAGCCAGTCTCCAGATCTCAACCCCATAGAAAATCTTTGGAGGGAGTTGAAAGTCTGTGTTGCCCAGCGACAGCCCCAAAACATCACTGCTCTAGAGGAGATCTGCATGGAGGAATGGGCCAAAATACCAGCAACAGTGTGTGAAAACCTTGTGAAGACTTACAGAAAACGTTTGACCTGTGTCATTGCCATTAAAGGGTATATAACAAAGTATTGAGAAACGTTTGTTATTGACCAAATACTTATTTTCCACCATAATTTGCAAATAAATTCATTAAAAATCCTACAATGTGATTTTCTGGATTTTTTTTCCTCATTTTGTCTGTCATAGTTGACGTGTACCTATGATGAAAATTACAGGCCTCTCTCATCTTTTTAAGTGAGAGAACTCACACAATTGGTGGCTGACTAAATACTTCCCCCCCCCACTGTATGTATTGCGGTTCTCATGATTCAATATGCATTGCGATTCGATAATGCTATTTTATTGAAATTTGACGTTCCAAACATGTTACTCACTATATGTCTGCTGCAGAGAGACAGAAAATTAGTTTTGATCAGTCATGGAAATAAAAGTGCTGAAAACATGTTTGCTCACTGTTTAAAAAGAAGATGGAGAACAGGCTATAGGATGAAAAATACCAGAGTTTTGGCGTAGGTTTCTTGTAGTAGTATTATTATTATTATTATTATTATTATATATATTTTTAATAGCAAATCGATACTTGGAGTTAAAGTATCAATATAATATCGTACAAAATAATATTGCGATATGTAACTATCGATTTTCTTCTCCCCATCACTATTGTAGACTGTCTGTAGCAGAATAGTTATGAAGTCATCGCTTGAAAGGTGTGTTCTCTAATATCAATATCTGTCTTGATTATTGCATTGATTTGAAAGCAGCTGTGGAATCTCCCTGTATATTATGTTTTTGAGTTAGAGGGTGGTTTGCTAAGACTTCAGTAGTAGCTCAAGTTAGGTGGAGGTAGGTTATGTGACGGTTAGCCTATATTGGGCCGTTGAGCAGAGGATGTTTGTTGTTTATGAGAGAGGAAATGTTTTTCTAGTGGCTCTCGAAGTCGTTGCAAGTCAAGAAACCCACCCCAGTGCTGAGTCAGCATCCGTGCCCATCTGGGGTCAAACGTGGAAATAACACAAAGCTTAAAGTTGTAGCTATGTCTGACTTAAATATTTGAATTTCGATACTGGTGTCATCGTCAAGCACTGTGCCTTGAGGGTCACTACCACGACAGTGCTATAGAGGCAGGCAGTAAACAACCCCTCAAAAGCCAAGTAACAAGAATATTGCAAGAGCTTCGTTTATATTTACAAACTCTCTCATACACACAGTATATATTTTTTGTTCTTTGATCACTTGCACACATGCGCTTTGCAGTCTCACGCACTCTGATGTACAGTTTCCTGTGGTTGAGCTCGCTTTACAGCTCCCATACTGTGGTTATTTTGTGCTCTGTAACTGCCACAATAGGTGTGTGTGTGGAGGGGGGGGGGGGGACATTTATAGGCGTTACAGGACGAGTGCAAATCATACATGCATTGAAGTAGCACATCCCCAATATATATATATATTTTTGTGATCCAATTGACATTTGAGTCTCTTATCCAGAGCGACTTACAATTAGTGAGTGCATACATTTTTCATACTGGCCCCCCGTAGCATGAGTTGAAGAAGCCAATAGAAATAGGAAAATACCTGGAAAAGCATATTGCTTACTTTTTCAATACGTTTCTTGAAAGATAGGTCTGCAAGATTGCAATATTCATTGCTCTGTCATTAGTCAGGTCGTTATTGTAAAAGAGAATATGTTGTCAATGACTTACCTGGTTAAATAAAGGCTAAATAAATACAACTATATTGTATATTTCATACCAGCTTATGAATATTATTATATGTCAGTGTATTAAGTGTGACTGCTATTAAAATGTGAAAGCTGAGATTGAGGTATTGAGATGTGAAACTGGTGTTTTTGAAAGCCGGTTGTGTAGCTGAGATGGAAGATGGGTTTTATGATTAAATGTGACCGTATAATTTTTGGATGATATGATGGTATATATCATGTCTGGTTAACAAGATGGTGAGATTGATGAAAGATGATTGACCTGAAAGAATAAATAGATTGTGAAGAGCTCTGATGCGTGTGGTTTGGATGTTCACACATGGCAGTGAAACGGTTGCGGTGAAGCATGGCTTAGTCTCAGTTCACAACGCCTTCCCTAGGTTGTAGTTTCACATCAGACACACTTGCTCTATGAGGCAGCACCACACGCTAGTCACACAATTGAGCCTAATCTCTCTTGTTCTCTCTTTTCTCTTACTCTCCCTTTACTCTCCATCTCACAGGCGGCAGATTGTAGATGGCTCCTGAAACGAGGCACAGAAGTTCTGACTGCAGCTCCAAGTCCGGCGTGAAGCTCACCCTCAAGACAGAAGCTTAAAGACTGAAGCCCTGATGGACAATATAGCGTTGACTGCCTCGCGGAAGAAACTAACCTGAGAGGCTTCATCTGCGGAGAGACCGAAACCTCATCGAGGTTGAAGGGCAGACACACTAACTTCCAGAGAAGCTTTGAGAGTCAAGCTCAACAGAAGCCTATGGAACAAAGCTGTAGCAGAATGTCACTTACTCCGGTCTGTCCTCAGTCTTTGTCCTGTGGTGAGCATGGAGGCCCTGTTTGAATCTGGGTGAAGCTTTCTTCCCTTCACCCCTTCCTCCTTCCTGTCTCCTCAGTGGCGGGAGGGGTGGGGGATTGCTTCCGTTCCCCCTGCCCCTCCTTACAGCATAGCGAGGGTACTCTCACAGTTTAAGAATACAAACACTGCTAACAAACCTCTGGCTGTGCTTCAACTAGCACTACTACAGTCTTCCCCTCCCTGCTCCCTCTCCCGCACACATGAAATCCTGCCAGAGCCTGAAGGAAGAGGTGTCCAGCCCCGGCCCAGGTGGGATGTCCCAGGAGGAGAACCGCAGAACGCAGCAGGTGGCCCAGTCCTACTACCAGTCCCCCGCCTCCGCTCCTGACCTGGACCTAGCGGGCAAGCTGTACAAGCGGGAGGGCGGGGGCAAGCCTTACTCTGTGCTAGTGGACAACAAGATGGCAGCCAAGACCCCCATGGGTGACCAGACCCCCGGTCAGCTTCCCCCGCAGCACGTCACCTCCCCCCAGCAGCAGTACTACAGAGAGGGGACAGTAGGGCAGGAGGGGGGCGTGCAGGGGGCCCAGGCAGGCAACGGGGGCACCTCCGAGGACTCGGAGGAGGAGGAGGAGTCCTTCAAGCGTGAGCAGATCATCGTGGAGGTCAACCTGAACAATCAAACCCTTAATGTATCAAAGGGGGACAAGTCCGCCCCCCAAACCGACGCCTCAGAGAGACACTGCAGTGAGGAGGAGGAGGATGATGAAGAGGAGGAGGAGGAGGAGGAAGAAGATGAGGAAGAAGAAGAGGAGGAGGAAGAGGAGGAGGAAGAAGAAATAGAGAGCCGTAGAACGAGAGCCAAGAGGGCTTGGCGTGGGGTGGCCCCCGCTACCAGCCAGCCCCGGAGGAAGACCCAGTGCACCGCTCTGAGCACCACCGGCATGACCACCAGGGGCCGACGGAAGAAGACCACCCAGCCGCCCAAGAGGACGCGCCGGACTGCCAGGGAGGGCAAGGGGACCCCCTCCTCAGCTGTCTCTGCCACAGGGGATAAAGCGGATGGGGAGGAGAGGGAGACGCTGGCGTGTGAGAAGTGCCCACGCGTCTTCAACACCCGCTGGTACCTAGAGAAACACATGAACGTCACACACAGACGCATGCAGATCTGTGACAAGTGTGGCAAGAAGTTTGTCCTGGAGAGTGAGCTGGCCTTACACCAGCAGACCGACTGTGAAAAGAACATCCAGGTAAGGAGGAGAGCTGGAGTGCGTCCCAAATGGCCCCCTATTCCCTATACACTACTACTTTTGAACAGAGCCCCATGGGAGCCCTGGCGGCAGGTAGCTTAGTGGTTAAGAGCGTTGTGCCAGTAACCGAAAGGTCGCTGGTTTTAATCCCCGAGCCGACTAGGTGAAAAATCTGTCGATGTGCCCTTGAGCAAGGCACTTAACCCTAATTGCTCCTGTAAGTCGCTCTGGATAAGAGCGTCTGCTAAATGACAACAACAACAATAAAATTGTACACTATGTAGGGAATATGGGGTCGTTTGGGATGCAGCCCTGGTCTCGGCTGTTTAAATAGATGTACAAGATGTTTTTGACATGAGCAATCAAAACAACTCCATTGATTAGGTACATTGGCTACAGTTACTTACCAGGCACAGTGAAACTAAAATCTCAGTCTGTCATCAGGGCCAGATTTCTGGGCTTTTGATGGATGTAATTAACGTTTTGTCCAGCAGAGGGAATCGGAGCATTAGGAACCAGCCAGACAGATACTGTTACAGCAGTGTGGGGAAACACCATCTGCAGCGCCAGACACTGTGATTGGCTCAGCTGCTACCTCGTGTTCTTGGATTCTGTCAGGGTGTATCAGGCTAATCAGTGTCACAAAACAACAACGATCATCACCTGTTACTTAATGTGTTATTTGTGTGTGTTTTTCTGCTGCTCAGTGCGTCTCCTGCAACAAGTCTTTCAAGAAGCTGTGGTCGCTGCACGAGCACATCAAGATTGTGCACGGCTACGCGGAGAAGAAGTTTGCCTGTGAGATCTGTGAAAAGAAGTTCTACACAATGGCTCATGTCCGCAAGCACATGGTTGGTAGGTGGACCCCAGTTTGTCTGTTCCTGCTCTCCCTGGTAACTTCCAAATGTCCCTAATAGTATATACAGTGCCTTGCAAAAGTATTCATACCCCTTGGATGTCTTCACATGTTATTGTTACAAAGTAGGATTAAAATGGATTTCATTTTCATTTTTGTCAACAACCTACACAAAATACTCTGTCAAAGTGGAAGAAAATGTTGATAAAAAAAAAAACGTTTATATAAGTTAAATATAGTTGTTGAATAAGTATTCAGCTCCCTGAGTCAATGTTATATAACACTTTTGGCAGCGATTACAGCTCTGAGTTTTCTTGGGCAAGTCTCTAAGAGCTTTACACACCTTTATTGTGCAATATTAGCCCATTTTTCTTTTCATAATTATTCAAGCTCTGTCAAGATGTTGGGGATCATGGCCAGACAGTCTTGCCATAGATTTTCAAGCAGATTTAAGTCAAAACTGTCGCTTGGCAACTCAGGAACATTCACTGTCTTCTTGGTAAGCAACTCCAGTGTAGATTTGGCTTTGTGTTGTAAATGATTGTCCTGCTGAAAGGTGAAAACCTGAAGCAGGGTTTCCTCTAGGATTTTGCCTGTGTTTAGCTCCATCCCGTTTCTTTTTATCCTGAAAAACTCACCAGTATTTGCCAATGTCAAGCATACCCATACCATGATGCAGCCACCACCATGCTTGAAAATAAGGAGGCCGTTACTCAGTGATGTGTTGTGTTGGATTTTCCCCAAACATAAGGCTTTGCATTTAGGCCAAAAAGTGTATTCCTTTGCCGTGTTTTTTTGCAGTATTACTTTAGTGCCTTGATGCATGTTTTGGAATATTTGTATTCTGTATATTTGTATTCTTCTTTTCACTCTGTCATTATTGTGGAGTCACTACAATGTTGTTGATCCATCTTCAGTTTTCTCCCATCACTCTAACTGTTTTAATCACCAATTGCCTCATGGTAACATCCCTGGGTGGTTTCATTCCTGTCCTGCAGCTCAGTTCAGAAGGAAGACTGTATCTTTGATGTGTCTGGGTGGCTTAATACATAATCCACAGCATAATTATTAACTCGACCACGCTTAAAGATATATTGAATGTCTGATTTGTTATTGTTACCCATCTACCAATCACTGCCCTTCTTTATGAGGCTTTATATGAGGCTTTAGAAAAGCTCCCTGGTCTTTGTAGTTTAATCTGTGCTTGAAATTCAATATTTGACTGAGGGACCTTACAGATGTTGTATGTATGGCGGACAGAGGAAAGGTTAGTCATTCAAAAATCATGTCAACCCCTATTATTTTAGAGTCTGTAATTTATTATATGATTTGTTAAGCCAAATTTTACTCCTGAACTAATTTAGGCTTGCCTGAACAAAGGGGCTGAATACTTAGGCAACGACTATATTTTAGTTATCTACATGGAATTATTCTTCCACTTTCACATTAGAGTATTTTGAGTAGATTGTTACAAAAAATGATAATTAAATCCATTTTAATCCCACTTTGTAACATTAAAATGTGAAGAAATCCAAGCGGTATGAATACTTTTGCAAGACTGTGTACATCCGTCTCAATTGGAAATAACTCACCCTCTTACCTTTCTTGTTCTTATTCATGGAGCAACATTCAGATCTCTCACTTTTATTGAGAGAGAACATAAATACTCCTTCACTTTTGAGCACAATGAAACACGGTTTTAACGCCCCAATATTTATCCCCTGTCCCTCTCTGGTAGGTGCTCTTCTTTAACCTGTTCCTTTCTCTCTGCAGCCCACACTAAGGACATGCCGTTCACCTGTGAGACCTGTGGCAAGTCGTTCAAGCGCAGCATGTCCCTGAAGGTGCACTCGCTGCAGCACTCTGGGGAGAAGCCCTTCCGGTGTGAGGTGAGCTGTTTAGACTTGTAGTCACACTGTCCATCCCACACTCAAACACAAACAGACTGAAACAGAAGATGTATTTCCCTTTTGTCACGATCGTTACAGGAAGCGGACCAAGGCGCAGCGTAATAAGCGTACATACTTTATTTGTACTGAACACGACACAAAAACAATAAACAACGATGCGTGACGTCCTGAAGTTATACACAACACAAACCTTAACGGAACAAAATCCCACAAACCCGAATGAAAAACAGACAGTTTAAATATGGCTCCCAATCAGAGACAACCAACGAACAGCTGACACTCGTTGCCTCTGATTGGGAGTCACTAAGGCAAACATAGAAATACACATACAAGATAAACAAATGAAATGCACACCCTGGCTCAACATACAAGTGTCCCCAGAGCCAGGGCGTGACAGTACCCCCCCCTAAAGGTGTGGACTCCGACCGCGCCCACCAAACACCACAGGGGAGGGACCGGGTGGGCACTCCACTTAGGCGGCGGATCCGGCTCCGGGCCTGATCCCCGCTCCCTCTCCAACCCCCCAAAGTACCCCTGGTCCGGTCTGGCCCCGCTGGCCGGAGCTGGACTGCACACTGGTGGAGCGGATTGCTCTAGCTCCGGCGTGAAGCATCTGACCGGTGCCGGACCAGCCACCGGTGGAACAGGCACGGGCCGTGCCGGACTGACGACGCACACCACTGGCTTGGTGTGGGGAGCAGGAGCGGGCCGCGCCGGGCTGACGAAACGCACCACTGACTTGGTGCGGGGAGCAGGAGCGGGCCGGACCGGGCTGACGAAGCGCACCACTGACTTGGTGCGGGGAGCAGGAACGGGCCGTGCCGGGCTGACGAAGCGCACCACTGACTTGGTGCGAGTGGCAGGAACAGGCCGGACCGTACTGGGAACACACACCACTGGCCCTACGTGGGGATCAGGAACAGGCCGGACCGGACTGGCAACACACGCCAGTACCTCTCGCCGTGCCTCTACATCCTCCCTCCCCCTGGTGACCAGTGACTCCCGTAACCTGGCGGCCTCCTGCTGCCAATCCGCTGGGCCGCTCTGCCGCGGTCTCCTGCTGGCCCGTCGTCCACGGCGTTAGCCCCCCCCTAAAAAATTTCTGGGCGTCTCCCCTACCCGTGGACCAGGTCTCCATGTCCCTCGCCAGCCTTTCGCCCTTCTGCCACAAGGTCAAGCCCTTCTCCTCCTCACTCGGCTTGACCCAGTCGAGGAGGCGAAGGAGATCTGTTAGGGATCTCCCTGGCGATGGCTCCTGGACACGCTGCTTGGTCACATCTGGGTGGGATTTTCTGTCACGATCGTTACAGGAAGCGGACCAAGGCGCAGCGTAATAAGCGTACATACTTTATTTGTACTGAACACGACACAAAAACAATAAACAACGATGCGTGACGTCCTGAAGTTATACACAACACAAACCTTAACGGAACAAAATCCCACAAACCCGAATGAAAAACAGACAGTTTAAATATGGCTCCCAATCAGAGACAACCAACGAACAGCTGACACTCGTTGCCTCTGATTGGGAGTCACTAAGGCAAACATAGAAATACACATACAAGATAAACAAATGAAATGCACACCCTGGCTCAACATACAAGTGTCCCCAGAGCCAAGGCGTGACACCTTTATAGAGTATTGGAAGAAATTGAGATCTGCACACTGTCAAAAAAAGAAGAAGAAGAAATCCAAAACTGAGGCTTGAAAGCAAAATAAAGATGTTTATTAAAACATCATGGTGCCCTTCAAAATCATAGTGCATAAATGAAAGTTGAAAACAAAACAAACGTTTCGGCCTCAGGCCATCATCAGTGGGAATCGATAGTTACCGGAGTGTAACTCCAGTTCTATGAGTGGAGCGGAGCACCATAGGGGAGCTCTGCTCCTATTGGTTTACCCCACTGCCTAGGCAGCGAACAGCCTGAGAAAAAATTATGCACACACCTGCAGCCAATAGGAGTACAGGTGTCCATATAAGAGGGGACGCTTCCCCTCAATCAGCCTCCCGAGAATTATCTTCAGCGAGACTAGAGAGGGTCGGCAGGGCCTTAAGTCCTATGGGGCTCCGCTCTACTCATAGAACTGGAGTTACACTCCGGTAACTATCGTTCTATATCGTGGAGCTCTGCTCCTATTGGTTTAAGGCGGAGCGCAACGCTCCAAAATGTACTCCCTGCCGAGCCCAACACTTCCCATCGAAATGAAAAGGTCGGGCCTAGCAATAGCTGCGACCAAATCCCGCAGTACTGTAACACACTGTGTCACAATATACTGCGTCCTCGGTTCAAATCCGCCCCACCTAGTCCAATGGCATCACCAATGTCTGGTGGGCAGATAACCAGAATATGGGCCATACTAATCTGTACTAGCAGATAAATGGTACCTCAATATCCTGTTACAACAATACCGACCACTAATGGAATGACACAAAGTGTCACTCTACATTGTGTACACGGTAGCCCGCCCCACTCAATCTATGGAACCCCAAAGATTAGTGGGCAGATCCCAGAACATGATTCATACTAATCTGAACAAGCAGATAGATGACGTCATATTCCGTCAAAATTGTCATGACCGGTCTAATAGTACCGTAACCAAGGTTACTACTATTGTCCCTCTTCATTCCGCCGCAACCCAGTTCTTCACTGGTGGGCAGATCCATACATGCCTTCTACTGTACTGAACATATCAATCAGGAGTCATGCTAAAACATGTCTCTCCATCAGAAGCGGACCTGAAAGAGACCCGTCTCCTCGGTCCTGCATTCCTCTCTCTTACCTCAAGTCCTCCCCTCAGCCACGCTGAGTACAGACTGAGCCAGAGAGTTAGAAGACTGATAAATGGAGACGTGACGACCACGACGCCGCTGCACAGATATCCTCTACCCCTGTTCCTCTGAAAAGGGCAGTAGAAGCCGCTACTCCACGAGTGGAGTGGGCTCTTATACCCTGAGGCAATTGTCGCCCCGCTGCCTCATAAGCTGTCTCAATGCCTTCGCAAAGCCAATGAGACAGACCCTGTTTCGAAAGTGGTCTACCTAGTGCAGCCGCACCTTGACACACAAACAGCTGAGGCGATGACCTAATCGCTGCTGTGCGCTCAACGTAACACACCAAAGTGCGCACTGGGCACAGGCGATGGAGCCTTTCCTCTCTCCTCTCCCCATGAGGAGGGGGAGAAAAAGCCCACAACTCCACGGTCTGTGATCTATATGAGCTCTTAATAACCTTCGGCATAAATGCTGGGTTAGGACGTAACACCGCTCTGCTCAAATCGCCATTAATGGCAAGGCAGTCGGGTCTCGTCGATAGAGCACACAAATCACTGACACGCTTAGCAGTAGTCAAAGCGAGCAACAGTGCCGTCTTCATTGACAGCATCTTGAGGGGTATTTGATTCAATGGCTCGAATGACGACTCACAGAGCGCTTCGAGTACCAAAGCCATATCCCACTGAGGAAGCGTGGCTCTAGGCATTGGCCTAAGCCGCCGCGTTCCTAATAAGAAACGTTTCACTAGAGGGTGGCTGAAAACGGTGTCTCTGCCAAACCCCTCGTGACAAGCTGAAATCGCCGTTGCAAACACCTTAATGGTGGCAGGCGATCGCTGCTTATCAAACAAACTGCAGGAACGAGAGTACACTCTCAACCCGACAGTTCATGGGGTCTACATTCTCTGTGACACACCACTGTGAAAACACGTTCCATTTACTGGCATACACCCTGGAAGTGGAACCGGCACGTGAACCCTGTATGGTCCTGATTACTGAATCAGATAACCCACGGCGCTCTAGCCTGTCCCTCTCAGGAGCCAAGCCTTCAGTGGTTGGCCGATTATGGGCAATCGCCCTATCGAGCCTCCCGCCTGAGACAACGCGTCCCGTCTGTGGAATTGGCCAAGGTGGCGCAATCAACATCTGACCATGGAGCCCCGGGCGATCGGGGGCCACCAATATTATTGACAGCCCGCCTGATCTCACCCTGGCTAACAGTGGGAGAATGCAGGACAGCGGTGGGAATGCATACAGGAGAACTCTCAGCCACGGTCAGTGCGCAAACGCGTCCCTCCCCAGTGGCGGTTCGTCCTGTTCCCTCAGAGAACCATAGAGGACAATGCGCGTTCACACGTGACGCGAATAAATCCACCTGGGCTCTCCCGAACTGTTCCCAAATCTGGAGAACAATTTCCGGGTGCAGACGCCACTCGTCGTCTCGAGGACCCCCTCGAGACATGAGGTCTGCTCCCACATTCAAGTAGCCCGGAATGTGTGCTGCTCTCAACGAGCGATGGTGCTTGTGAGCCCACAGCCACAATTCCTCCGCCGACCGGTGGAGTGCAGGAGACCTGACTCCTCCCTGGCGATTTATGTAGGCTACTGTGGTCCGGTTGTCTGACCAGACCAACACATCGCGACCCCGAAGGGTAGACGCGAAGTGGGTCAGAACCAGTCGAACCGTTTCCAACTCCAAGAGGTTGAAGTGGCGACTCGAAAGAGGCCACACATCTCCTATCGCTTGGGTCTGACGTGTCCCTCCCCATCCAGTCAGAGAGGCATCTGTAAACACTGGAATGTAGGAGGACACTTTGCCTATTGGGACTCCGTGCGTGAGAACGCTCGGGTCTCTCCAATAGTTCAGATCTGCACTGAGCGAGAGAGGAACCACCACCAATCAATGACGTTGACGCACTGGGTCTAGTCTTAGTTGGGCGAACCATCGCTGCATCCTGCGCATGCGCAGGAGTCCCAGCGGGACCACGGAATGGGCTGACGACATGAGACCCAAAAGTGACTGACAGCGCCGTTACCGTATGATTCGGACGAAACCTTCACAGGGCTAGCAACAGGGCTGCCCTTCGAGGGTCCGAAATTCAAGCCCTCATCATTACAGTGTCTAGCTGTATCCCCAGGTAGACAATCTGAGGACTGGGCCAGGGCGCGCTCTTTATCCAATTCACAGCGAACCCCAGATGCGTGAG